CCCACACTCGGACCCAGGAGCGCTGCAGCTCCCGGAGAACTGGCTGCCTGGGCGCAAGGCGCGGGGGGCTGGGGGAGCCTGCTCGGCCGGCTCCGAGGGACCAGTTGTCATTAAGAACAGTCAATTTAGAGGATGATGCAAAGGATGAATTGCACATTGTGGAAACATAGGCTATGAATTATGAAGACAACCCAATTAAATTAATGCTGGTAACTTTGAAAATGACTGTACAACCAACAGTTTCCCTTGAGGGCTTTGAAATTACACCACCTGTCTTAAGGCTGAAGTGTTGTTCAGGGCCTGTGCCTATTAATGGACAGCACTTAGTAGTTGTGGAGGAAGATGCAGAACCAGAGGAGGAGGAGGAGGAAGATGGAAAACTCTTGAGCATATGTGGAAAGAGATGTGCTCCTGGAAATGGTACCAAGGTTACAGAGAAAATAGTAAAATTAGCTGGTGCTGATGATGATAATGATAATGATGATGATCATGATGACAATGATGATGATTTTGATGATGAGGAAAATGAGGAGAAAGTTCCAGTGGAGATATTGACATGAGATACTCCAGCCAAAAATGCATGAAAATCAAACCAGAATGCAAAAGACTCAAAACCATCAACAGCAAGATCAAAAGGCCAAGCAATCTTCACAAAACAGGAAAAGACTCCTAAAATACCCAAAAGACCTAGATTTATAGAAGATATTAAAGCAAAAAATGCAAGCAAGTATAGAAAAAAACCACAGTGAACAGTCCTGAGCACTACTGATAAATTAAGCCCAAAGGTGGGGAGAAAAGAAAAGGAGAGACAAATAGTAGTCCATAATGAGTGTCATCAACAATCCAGACTGAAGTCTTCTATTTTAATCTCAATACCCTTTTCTGATTTGCCACTGACACCCTCTTCCAGGCTGGAAGCAATCTTCAGATACTTTTTTTGGAGGTGGGGGTACCAGGGATCAAACGCAGAACCTTGCTTTTGCTGGGCAGGGGATTGTGCCACTGAGCTATATCCCCAGCCCTAGAAGCCATCTTTCTCCTAAAGCACTTTTGTTTTCCCTTTAACTGCTGCAATTCAGTGAACCTTACATATTGCTATTATGTGTGTATATGGCTCGTCTCTTGTTTTAATTAACTTTGTATCTCTTTTAGCTGCTCAATAAATATTTGAATAAATAAACAGCTCTTATGCATGGTTGTCTAAAACAAAATCCCCTTCTGAAAGTAGATTGATTAGATACTTTCTGACATCAGCTTTCTTTTGTATGGACTCCACGACTGTCAAGGATGGGGACCTGGAGTAGTATTTTCAAAGATGAGATCCTAAGAGAAAAGAAAGCTCATGGAGCAGACATCAGTTAAAAGGCAGGCAGGCAGCAAGAAAGAACAGTTGCATCTGTAGTGTTTATTTCTTATATGTGTCGTTATCACCTATTTACATTCTTGTTTGCATGCGTGTGTGATTATCTAATGCTAAGTCACAGTTACATAATTTGTTCCACTTTGCACCTGTACTAAACAGTGGGTTTACACCCTTGCATGTCCTCAGCCAACCCAAACTTTGTACCCACAGTGTCCCTCACAATAACTTTAGTGATGCTTTTTCCGGCTCAAGCATCTGGCTTTCCCTTGCTCTTGTTTCAGCTACTTGTGATGGAATGTGCCTGCCAATCCAACATGAGACAGACAGACAGGTGATCTGGCACCTCAGAGCCCTCAAGATAGAGGACTGTAAGAAAGCAAGGGAAGAATTGTAACTTGCCCTGCAACATGAAACTTTAAAAGTTAGATTGTTTTTGTTTTAGAGATAAGCATCTCCTCCAGACTTTCTCCTGCTGAGCATGTAACAAACAACCCTTCTTCTCCCCAGCCCAAAAGAAGTGACAGAATATGCACCTATCACCTGCCTCAGGAGGCTGGAGCCAAGTTGTGGGAGACCAGACAGGAAGATTGAGACCTTGGCCTCTTCTGTGAGTACTAAGAAAAAAGTGACATGTAAGCATGCAGACACATTGCAGTTTCTAGGAAAAAGTTCATACAGCTGAGATCCTGTGGTTTACCCAGAAAGCACCATGGATGGTGGGAGGCAGATGAATCTCATGATACCCTAATTGCTTGTTCCCGTGTCTGAGTGAATAAGGCAGAGTGAACCTGTCACTTAGGGTCCCTTGTCAAAGGGAGACAGGCCTCTGCCTTCCCACATTTTAACCCAATTCTGTGTGTCTTGTTTTTTATCCTTGTTCATGTACAAGACTAGTGGGCTGGCTTCTGCACCCAGTTTCCTTTCCACTAGAAGGAGGAGGATGAACTGAAGATGACTGAAAGAGACAAAGCAAGGAGAGAGATCTGCATGGTCTGTTCCTTACTCTAAAAGACCCTTGCCCACCTATAAATGATGAAATGAAGCAAATGGGCTCCTTCATCCCCTTAGAACTAACTTTGAACAAATCTTTTTTGTCCTTTTTACCAAAATATATAGCCTCCTTTGATTTGATCAGCAACTAGCAAATGAACCTGAACCTATAAACCTAAGGGGCTGGTCACATGTTCAGGTCTCTTCAACTGTCACAATGGAGACTTTTCTAACCTCTGTATTTGATGTCCTCTATTCTATTTAACCTGGTTCATTTGACTGTGCAGCACTCACACACTATTATCTCATGTATTAATTATCTTTTCCTTGATTTCCTACCTGAATGTAAGCTCCAGAGATTCTATTCCCAGCTCTCTCACCGACAAGGCAGTGCTAGCGCAGTAAATGTGCTCAGTAAATATTTGTTGCATGAATAGAGGAGATCACAGGCTCACAGATGACCTGTTTTTATTTTTGATGCCTGACGTGTCAAAAGAAAAATAATTACAATGATTTAGTTAAAAGATTTTTTAAAGAATCTTACTGTGCCACTTAAGTTAGCCTCAAACTCTTGGGTTCAAGTGATCATCATGCTTTAGCCACCCAAGTAGTTGGCACCACACCAGCTTTACTTTAAAAATATTAATTGACTTCATTTTGATTCAACAATCAGGCAACACTTCACTTCATAAACAAATACTCTGATGGGCTAAGCAGAGAGATTTATTTTATAGACAGAAAGAGGTTGAAAAAGACAGACCCAAACAAAAAACAGATTGGTCAAAGTAACCTTTCTTGTAAGGTAAGGACAGGGAAACTGGAAAATAACTGATTAGTTAACATCAGGTTGAATTTCCAGAAGATGGTGGAGTGGTAAACAACAGCAAGTCAACCTCTCCAAGATTTGAATTCCAGGCGCTAGAAAATAACAACTTGGGGAAGAAAAGGAGGAGGAAGTGGCTTCTTGGAGCCTACGGAGGATCTACAAGGAAAATTTCAGCCCACAGAGAAAGTGAAGAGACAGACTCAAATGCAAAAAAAAAGGTGAGGTCAATCTGCACTTTCTCCCCAGCTCCTGGCTTGTGATGTGAGAGAGGATTCAATCTATAGAGACATAATGAGGGCTTGTGACTTTAGAGGCCTCCAGGGAGAAGTGCACCGGTGAAGCAGAGAGTGGATGCTGGACACTACAACACCTGGTGAGTGACTCAAGTTGAAGAGAATTCTGTGTCCCCTGGTGATGGTGCTCTGTGGGATGCCAGTTTAGGGAGAGGTCTGAACCTGGGACTTGAAGCAGCTGTGCACTGGCTTGATCTCAGGACTCCCAGTGTTGAAATCCCACAGTGACTGGGTGAGGGAGAACTGCAAGAGGTGTCCAGGATCCAGGAACAGACATCAGGCTGGCACCCAGAGTGTTTTAGATTGAAAGACTCAGGACCCAACCCCATAACCAGAGGCCAGGATCAGCCTGAACTTCAGTGAATTTGAAAGTAACAGAACTGGTACTCTAACCAAATCCTACTTCAGGCTCTCTGGGATTATGCAGCATGGATCTGGGCTCTGACTGCCTCCCAAGTAGTCTACCAACAAGAGCAGAGTCATGCTCTGAGTTGGACACTGCCACAAAACTGTAGACCCCAGAATGTAACCACAGGCTTAAAATCACAGAGAGATTTCTTTCTTTTTTCTTTGTTTTTTTGAGTTTTTTGCCTACTTGTTTTGATTGTTATTTTTGTTTTTCTCATGAGTGTGAACATTTGTCAGCCCACTCAGGGGACCCAGTGGAGATTTTTGCAGGTGAGGTCCCAAAGTTAAAGAACATACATGTATTAGTCAGGGTTTTACTGGAGAAACAGATATAACACAAGATGTACAAATGTATAAGAAATTACAAGATTGACTTATGACAGTCAGCCAGAGAGTTGTATGAAGAAGTGTGCAGACGGTGTCTGCACACTAAAGACTGAAGGAATCAGTCCAGGGTCTGGAGTTCACTGCAGAGTTCCGTGCAAGTCTGTACCAAGAGGTTCATGAGTCTGCGACAGAAGGCTGAAGGATCCAAGGTGGAAGCTGAAGAGTCTGCACTAGAAGGCAGGAGACGAAGTCCAAGCTGAAGGTGAAGACTGGAGCTCCTCCAACAGGAATGGAAGATCCTCTATCCTCATCTCCCTTTTATATCATCTAGGTGATGATCAACCCTAGGGTGGTTCCTCTACATCCTAAGGTGGCTCCTCTACACCCTAGGGTGTAGAATTGCTGAGCCAATTGCTGAGCCAAGTTTAGTTATGCTTTTAAACTTCTCAAGTTGACATAATCAGTCAATCACTACAACACATCTACAAAACATTAGCAACAACAGCAATCAGCATGGAGTAGAGCAGAGAGCCGTCTGTGCCTTTATTGTATAATTCTTCTTTTTTGTACTGGTTAAGAATAGGAAAAAAAAAGGGCTGGGGATTTAGCTCAGAGGCAAAAGTGCCTGCCTGGCAAGCGCAAGGTCGTGAGTTCAGTTCCCGGTACCGGAGATAGGAAAAATTTATTGAAAGAAAGAAAGCTTTTGTCTAAGAGGGACAGAAGGGGGCCCGGAAAGTGGGTTGCCTGCCAATCCCACTTCTCAAGAGTGTCTTATTGAGCAAAACCACAAGGTGAGGCAGGTTTAAGGTGGGACAAAACTGTGGTGTACCAATAGGATTTCATGTATAGTTGCTTGGGTAATATTGATTAAATGGGGATCAAATGGGGAAGTAAGCCATGTAACAACCATACATGGAAGGAATAAGGATTTCTCAGGATGAAATGGGCTAGGGAGGTTTTGGTCCCCCACCCCAAGTGATTAATGCCTTCTTACAATATCAGCCACTGCTGCTCATCCCTAGAGGAAGTATATGAGTATAGTCATTCTTGTTTGTCCGGAAGCCTAAGCTTCAACAAATGCACCTCTACCAACGGATGTCTTCTGCGCTGACCTTTGGAAGACCCAGCCCTGTATGAATGCCTATAATATTTCTAAGTAACTTAACTATCTATAATAAGCAAACTAAGCCACTTGATGAAGCTAGAGCCCTCATGATCCAATGACCTCCCAAAAACCCATCAGCAACAAAACCTTCAACACAATGAGCTGTGGGAGACAACTCATATACAAACCATAATAATTCCTCTTTATTTCTGCCAGGCCTGTCCCAAGTGTCCAGGCAAGAAGACGGTAGAGCACCCAAAATGGAGGAAGAAAAGAGGTAAGAAGCTACTAGTTCCTAATCTGCTTCTGAGATAGATACAAATAGATTTGCTGATTTGTTTCCTGGAGATATGCAGATATTCATAATTGTGTTTTTTGAAGATATTAAATGTTTAATAATGCAAAAAATCTGCTTTCTTGAAGCATGTAGGCCTCTCAGGCTTGGAGGACAAAAGGACCAAGGTAGCAATGGAAGTATAATCAGCAGACCTAGCACATGCTGGAAGCTGAGGAATCAACTGACTTCTTAACTTCCTACTTTGTAGCTAACTTTTGGTTTCTGTACTTTTTTTTCATCAAGTGGTTATCAGTTCTCATTGGTTCTTTCACCTAATAGTCCATAAAAAGCTCATCCAAGAAAAAATCACACGCCAGACTATTTTTATATTCATACCCTTGTGCAATCCTCTTCCAAACAAAATATAGCTAACTTATATTAGGATATTACTTAATAAGGAGAGATATACATAGATAAACATATGGATAAAGATGGAATGTAACTTTCAAGGTTAGAGAACAAAAATTTAACTCTGATTTGCTCTCCCTTGGGTCACTTGCTCTGGGAAATACCAGCAGACCTGTCTTTATTTTTCTATTAAAGAGAAAAACAATGAAAACAATCGTACAAAATTTTAAAACAAGATAAGTAGACATATCGTTTATATATTTTAACAGCATTATAAAGGGGTCCCTGTGGCAAGGTATTTATAAATAGTTGACTATAATTTATATTTTAAGTATTTATGTCAATATTATTTATTTATACATTAACATTACTCATATAATTAATATAATTTTATGTAATTAACATTAATATTATTTTAGAATTTAATATATCTATAATATGCTGCAAAAGAGGTACTAACTGTGTCTGTCTGGATAAACAGTCATGACTGGGGGTTGTTTTTGGAGTAAGACTTATATTACAAGCACCCTGAAAAATGATGATAAGGTTTATTTTCCAGTTAAATCTGATTTTTCAGAGAAAGATAATATTCTAGAGTGTTTAATCAGGAGCCATTTGGGGAAAGGTTTAATTGCTAAGATTTTGCTACAGAACAACTACAGAATAACACTTTAGGGTTTCTGGGATCACCTTACTATTATAGGGTAGCTCTTTGAGATAGTACAATAGACCACACTAGGACTCCACCCCTTCAAGGGTTCAAACCTGAACTCTGCCCATCAGATGCTATGTTCTTACTTTGTTATTCTAACCACAAGATTACAGCAGTTTCTGTACCTTGCCGAACACTCCCTCCTCCTTTTCCTGTACCAAGAAAGCAAAGGGCTTCACCACATCCTCTCATGTTACTCCACAGCTGGCCATGGCCAACCAGATGTTCAAAGTTATAAAACTGTCATGTTTGAATAACTGC